GGAGAGAGGAAGAGAAAGGGAGAAGGAGAGAGAGAGAGAGAGAGAGAGAGAGTGTTAGGTATAGTTGCAGAGAAGGAGAGGAGACATGTCACAGTTCCATGGTCTTACTTTCTGTGAGAGTAAGCTGCTTATATTAATGCAAACAAAGCAAAACTAAAGCAAGAAATGAATTGTTTTTTTTTTTTATCTGAGATTGCAAGTCTCAGGTTGAAAAGATTTTTCAGCAATATAGAAGTTTTAGTGTAAGGATTGGTTAACCTAAAAGTGAAGTTAAGTAAAGGATTGCAATTTCAAAATAGTATTAAGAGTAAAAGTGAATTTCAGATTCTGAAGCAGAGGTTGCTTGCAGTTTGGCCAGTCTGGAAGGGTGCTGTGTGGTACAGGGGAAAAAAGGAATAAGTTTCCATTTTAACTTGTTGGTAGTGTTTTGTACTTGTGGTATTATAGTCACTAAATCTGGTAGCAAGGCTGGTAATCCTTTATTCTATGTTTAAAATCAGTATATGTGTGAGTGCATACCATGTTTGTCTTTTTGTGACTGGGTTACCTCGCTCAGAATGGCTTCCTCTAGTTCCATTCATTTGCCTGTGAATTTCAAGATTCCATTGTTTTTTTCCACTGAGTAGTACTCCATTGTGTAAATGTACTTTTTCCTCTATCCATTCTTCAGTTGAGAGGCATCAAGGTTGTTTCCAGGTTCTGGCTATTACAAATAGTGCTTCTATGAACATAGTTGAACAGATGTCTTTGTTGTATGAATATGTATCTTTTGGGTACATGCCTAAGAGTGGAATCCTGGATCTTGTGGTAAACTGATTCCCATTTTCCTTAGGAATCACCATACTGATTTCCAAAGTGGCTGTATGAGTTGGCACTCCCACCAGCAGTGGAGGAGTGTTTCCCTTTCTCCACATCCTCTCCAACATAAGCTATCATTGATGTTTTTGATTTTAGCCATTCTGACAGGTGTAAGATGGTATCTGAACAGATGTCTTTGTTGTATGAATATGTATCTTTTGGGTACATGCCTAAGAGTGGAATCCTGGATCTTGTGGTAAACTGATTCCCATTTTCCTTAGGAATCACCATACTGATTTCCAAAGTGGCTGTATGAGTTGGCACTCCCACCAGCAGTGGAGGAGTGTTTCCCTTTCTCCACATCCTCTCCAACATAAGCTATCATTGATGTTTTTGATTTTAGCCATTCTGACAGGTGTAAGATGGTATCTCAGAGTTGCTTTGATTTGCACTTCCCTGTTGGCTAAGGATGTTGAGCACTTTCTTATGTGTCTTTTTAGCCATTTTAGATTCCTCTATTGAGAATTCTCTATTTCCTTCTGTACCCCACTTTTTAATTGGATTATTTGCTGTTCTGGAAACTAGCTTCTTGAGTTCTTTGTAAATTTTGGAGACCAGCCCTTTGTCGTTATTGGGGTTGGTGGATATCTTTTCCCATTCCGTGGGCTGCCATTTTGTCTTGCTGACTGTGTCCTTTGCCTTACAGAAGCTTCTCAGAAGCTTCCATGGAAATAAGAAGTTACTTCTAAACGATTTTATAGAGAGTCTTGTAGAGAGTATTTCTATTCTAGTATTTGTCATTTAAATAGGTCTACAAGGATGACACCAACTAGCCATCTAAGCAACAGTGAAGAGGCTACCTTAAATGCCTTTCCCTGGTAATGAGATCAATGACTAACTTATATGCCATCCTAGAACCTTCATCCAGCAGCTGATGGAAGTAGAAGCAGATACCCACAGCTAAACACTGAACTGAACTGGAATCCAGTTGCAGAGAAGGAGGAGTGATGAACAAAGTGGTCAAGACCAGGCTGTTGAAACCCACAGAAAAAGCTGACCTGAACAAGGGGAGCTCTTGTTCCCTAGACTGATAGCTGGGAAACCAGCAGGGAACTGATCCAGACGCCCTGAATGTGGGTGTCAGTGAGGAAGCCTTAGAAATCTATGGGGCATCTTGTAGTCGATCAGTACTTATCCCTAGCAAAGGAGTGGAATTTTGGAGACCATTCCAAATAGAGGGATACTCCCTGAGCTTAGATACCCGGGGGTGGGCCTATACCCTATCCCAAAGGATATGACAGACTGTGAAGACCCCCCATGGAAGGCCTCACCATCCCTGGGGAGCAGAAATGGTATGGGAAAGGTAGGGTGTTAGTGAGGGTCAGGGGAGGAGGGGAGGGAGAGGGAACCAGGATTGACAAGTAAAAAATCTTGTTTCTAATTTAAATAAAAAATGGAGAAAAACAGTGGAAAAAAAAAAGAAAAGTACACCCAAGTAATAGAACAAATTAAAGTCTTTTTTTTTTTGCAAACAACAACAACAACAACAACAACAACAACAAAAATCTGGTAGCTAGAAATCCATGTAGATGGTTAGTGGTGGTTTTATTAAATATTGTACAGTATCTTGCTACTCAGACCTATTGAATTTCATTTTACTTAAAAGAAATGGAGGCAGAATAGATTGGGGGAGTTGGGACAGTGGGGATAGGGGAAGGGACTGGGTGGGCCTGGGAAAATGCAATGCTTCATTTTGAAAATGCCTCACTTAGTGCTTGCTTTGGCAGCACATATACTAAAATTAGAAGGATACAGAGAAGATTAGCATGGCCCCTGCACAAGGAAATTACCTCACTTAAAATATATTTATGTATCTATTTTTGTGTATATGTATATACACAGTCTCTGTGTGTGTGCGTGAATTTTTTTTTTTTTTGAAGCCATACACATGCTACAGCCCTTCTGGAGGTTAGATGCTCCTCATCTTCCATCTTGTTGAGGCAGAGTCCCTCTTGTCATTTATGCTATGTTGTTTACTTCATGCTAGCTGTCTTAGAAGTTTCTGGGCATTTCTCCTGATTTGCTCCCCATCTTGCCATTGGAATACACAACTAAGTCAGTCTTTTCCATGGGACCTAAAATCAGGTCATTGTGATTGCACAACAAATACTTTTACCTGCTGAGCTGTCTCCCTGGCTCAGAAATACTTTGCTTTTCCAAAACCATCAATGTATAGTTGATAAATACTACATATCAGAATACTCAGTTGTGTCTAAATATCATGAATGTTCTGACCTCTATTAGCTTTGGTTCAGGTTATGTGTTAGATCAATTGTTTAGACATGTATATCAAGGTGCACTTTAATCCATTAAGAATAAAACATTGTAGCTGGGCAGTTGTGGCGCACACCTTTAATACCAGAACTTGGGAGGCAGAGGCAGGCAGATCTCTGTCAGTTCCAGGCCAGCCTGGTCTAAGAGAGCTAGTTCCAGGACAGCCTTCAAAGCCACAGAGAAACCCTCACTCAAAACCCCCTCCCCACTAAAAAAGAGTAAAATGGGGGAATTGATACGCAAAATAAGATTGCTTCTAAAATAAAAATACATATTATAAAAAAGAATAAAACAATGTGGATTTTAATTGCAGTCCCCTATTACCCATTGAAGTCATCTTCATAATGTGAATCAGTCAGTCAGCACATTGATTACAGATTTTCTTAAAGTACTGTTTTTGTGTACATTTACCATAAGCATAATATTAACCACTTTGAATCACTGTGAATAAAATATGTTCTACTATAATCACTACTGAACTAAGATAGTACCAGTTATTCTGGATTGAATAATCTTTTAAAAGAGAGATTTAAATTCTGTATATTTCTTTGCATTTGGTGTTTGATTAGGAAAGGACAAAAATTTAAAAGAGTAATTAAATTATAAAAAATTCCATATGGCAGGTTAGAGAATTCCACCAGTACAGTATTGTACAACACATAAGTTTTAGTCTATCAAATTTGTAAGATTATATTACAAGAAAATATTTTGTAATAAAACTGTGTGTTCTATCTTACTACAATTTTCAACTAGTTTTATGTAATTTATGCTTATTATTTATTTTCTACTGATATTTTTCTGTGTCTAGTACTTTCTAAATTGATAATACAGTGATTGATTCCTTTGCAAAGAAAAGTTTTTGTAATTTGGATTAATAAAAAGCCAGGCATATGTTAATCTTGGAGTTTGTGAGGGAAATGTGTTGTTTCTTCACCATTGGTAGAGTACTTCATGTACAGATGCATTAATGCTACAGTACTATTTATAGTTCATTTTAGATTATTTTAAATAACACTTTTAAAAATAAATGTTTATTCATTCTAAAAAATCCAGACATACATCACTATGATTTAATGCATGCAGATACAGACTTATTCAATTTTGTTGCTTCATACATGTTGTTTTATATTTTTGAAACATTTGTGCTCAGAATGATCTTTAATGTTATTTCCTGGATTTCTAAATAAAAGAAAGCTTAAAAAGATGTAGTGAGTACATATTTTAAAAATCATGAACTCTTAGAATGGATGACCCTGCTAGTTAATTTCTAAAGGCTGTGTCATTGAATGCCTCCATTATATGGCAGGGAAGATGCTATAGAGGCTTACTCCCAATCTTTGTCTGAATTCTCCAGTGAGTCTGTGGAAAGGAATGACCCTGTTGACCTTTTCACACTCCTGGCAGTAACAAGTGTGGTCGTTTAATGTGAACTGGAAGCAAGAGGGTCATAATGAGAGACTGAAAGCTGACAATGAGAATTAGTAACTACTGGACAAGTCTAAACATAGGAGAAAAAGTGCTCTTGAATGACTTACATCAAACAAGCTTGACAGTTCTTTATATAGCACTCTTTTAGCAATACTGATCAAAGAGCGGCAGATAATTGGGAGAAAGAATTGACATGTGAGATTCCATAGGATTATGCTCTATAAAAAACGTTAGCTCTTGATAATTAGTTCAAAATTAAAGCAAAGGGGATATTAATCAACTTGTATTAGATGATAACATAAAACAAGGAATATCCTTAAATCTGGTTCTATTTCTCAAACATCAGTTATCATACTTAGTAATCAACAAATTATTCCTTAGAATATTGGTTTTTATAAGAGATCAGAACAAGGGACCTTACCAGTCCAGATTTAAGATTTTTTTTGAAATTTCATTTAAGATTGTATACATTATAGATCTTTCATGTCTGTGTGACAAGTGAAACAAATTCATTTTTATATTATTGTAATTTATCAAATTCTAAATGATAAAAACACTTATTTTTATTTGATAGGCACTAACTTAAGAGTTTTTAATATATTTTTAATTTGTTAAAATGTAGACCTAAAATCCTATAAAATAGGAAGTATTGTTACTATTATTCCCATTTTGCATTTCAGAAAGCTAAATCACGACATGCTTGTATTACTCAACTATGTGGTATCTTTAGTAATAAGAGTTTTATCATTAACCTTATAGTGTTTGGGGTTGAGGAGATATGAGTGACCAACAACTCAAAAAAGAAGTAACATATTCATGCCTCTGTGCTTTTTATTTGTTAAGCTATACTCTCTGGAAGAGGCACTGTCCCTGTTGCAGAGTAAATTCATGTAATCTTTTATGCATTTGTATATTTTAGGAAGCTTCTGGAGTAGTAGATTTCCATTTGAAAACTTTTGCAGCTCTTCTGCATTAGTTATCCCTATCCATGCCCTGTTTTCAACCTGCCCTCTCATCTCCCAATTAACATTTTTGCCCCATTGTTCACATTGCCCCCTTCGTATCAATGGTGTCCTATCTCTCCACTCTTGGAAGGCCTTCCCCTGTGGATCTATTCTACTTTCCTGATTTGTATGGTTATTCAAATTTAATTATACATACATACCTACACATTTAAAAGTACCATACAGGTATGATAAAGAATATGTGGCATTTGATTTTCTGGGTCTGGGTTACTTCACTAAGAATGATTATTTCCAGCTCAATGCATTTACTTGCAAATCTAATTATTTCATGTTTCTTAACAGCTAAATAATATTCCATGGTACAAATGCACTACATTTTCATTATCCATTATTTTGTTGATGGATAGCTAGGTGGTTTCATTTCCTGGCTATTGGTAATATATCAGTGAATATGGAAGTGCAATTATCTCTGTAGTATGATGTAGAAATCTTTCAGAATGTGCCCAGGAGTGGTGTATGTAAATAATATAGTAGATATTTCTAGCATATGAGGAAATTTCACACTTTTTAAAATAGTGACTGAATCAATTTTCTCTTCCACCAACACTGAATAAGTGCTCCTCTTTAAATTCATGCCAGCATTTCTTGCCATTTGTTTTTTAAGCTTAGCCATTCCTTCTGAGGTAAGTTATAATTTCAAAACAGTGTAAATTTACAGTTTTCTGATGTTGCACATCCAAAATATTTTTCAGATATTTGTCTTTCTTTCTTCCTTTGAGAACTCTCTGTTTAGTTCTACTTTTATTTGGGTCATTTTCCCCCTTGGGGTTTAGTTATTTGAGTTCTTTGTATATTCTAGACACAAAGCTTCTGTCAGATGCACAACTGCTAAAGTTTTTTTTCCCAACCCATTCTGTAGTATCTTATTTTGTTTGATTGAGTCCCTTTTGTTATATGGTAGGCTTTTAGTTTTATGAATTTACATTTGTCCTTTGTTGTTCTAATGCGTCACTATTGGGGTCCTTTTAATTAAGCCCGTTACTTTGCCTGTAAATTGAAGTGTATCCCCTATTTTGTCTTTTAACAGATTCAGGGTACAGTCTTATATTGAGGTCTTTGAACCATTTGGAGCTGAGTTTTGTGCAGAGACAGAGATAAAGATCCAGTTTTAGTGTTTTGTATGCACCCATGCAGTTTGTCCAGCAACATTTGTTGAAGATACTCTATTTTCTCTAATATGAAATTTGGCCTTTTGGTAAAATATCAGGTGGATGTAGGAATATGGGCTTTTACCTGAGTTCTAAATTCTATCCTATTAACTGATATATTGTTTTTTTGTGGTTATTTGCTGTATTTATTACTATAATTTTTGAAATCAGGAGTGGAGAGACCTCTGGCAGTATTTTTAATGTTTATCTTTGTTTTGGATCCCCTGCATATTTTTGTTTCCATATGAATTTACATATATTTTTTCTTATTTTCCATGAAGTGTTACATTGGAATTTTGATTGGATTGCATTGAATCTGTAGATTGTTTTTGTTAGGATGCCTGGTTTTTTTTTCCATGTTGATCCCACTAATCCATGAACATGGGAGTGTTTTCATCTTCTGGTACCTTCTACAATTTCTTCAGAGTCCTAAAGTTTTCACTGTATAGATCTTTCACTTTCATGGTTAGATTAAGTACAATTTTTTTGAGGTTACCCTTACTGCTATTGTTTTTCTCATTTCTTTCTCAGTATGTTTGTATCCTTCTTCTTTGTTGGACAACTTTATCAGCTGTAATAGTTTTCTGTTGGAGTCTCTAAGGTGTTTTATTTATAGAATCATACCAATTGTAAATATGGGTAATAGGGAATTCTTCCTTTCCTACTCGTATCCCTGTTATTGCCTTCAGTTATTTTAGTAGCTAGGAATTTAAGCAATATATTTAACATGATTAGAGAGACTGGACATCTAGATGCTGAATTCTTTCAAAATTTTTCTGCATCCAATTAGATAAGCAAGTGGTTTTTCTTCTTCAGTCTATTTATATCATGGAATATGTTTTTTTGGTTTACAAATATTGAATTATACCTGCATCTCTGGGCTGAAGCTGACTTGTGATGAATGGCTTTTGCAATGTGTTCTCAAGTTTTGTCTGCAAGTATTT